TACGCAAATACTATACTGCTCCCATTTGGGAAAAAGCCCTCTTGCACAAATGTATTTGCGCAAGAGGGTCAGTGTAGACAGCTAAAAACTGTTTTGCGCAAAAAAGCCCCAGTGGCGAAAATGGCGATCGGGGCTTTCTTGCGCAAAACCATGTCTAGATTGGCACAGACACTTTTCCGCAAAAAGTGCTTTTGTGCAAAAGCGTCCGTGCCAATCTAGACACTCTTTTCCGCAAATGCTTTTAATGGAAAAACTTTTCCGTTAAGAGCATTTGCGGAAAATCATGCCAGTCTAGACGCAGCCTCTGTGTTTACGCTGGCAGGGTACAACGCTGTGCTAGACTGTGTACTGCAAGCATGGAAGTTTCCACTGCTGCTCTTTGAGGCCTAAAGGCAGGCCCGCCAGCGTGTCATATGACAGAGGGGAGGAGTGTTGTGCTTCTTGGCTGCCTGTTATTTGAACAGGCAGATTTCATGGCCAGTTTCTGGCCAGAAACAAGCCAATGGGATTGTGCCGGGGGAAGGAGCGGTGTCTGAATCTTCTCCCCTCCCCTCGGGGCTCATAAAGTGTCCCGCAGCCACATTTCTAACCAGCGTGTGGGGCAAGCAGGGGAGCCTGCCTGGGCCTCCCCACTGCTACTGCAGGCCAGATCCAGTGGTTTGGTGGGCTGGATGCGGCCCACAGGCTATATTTTACCCAGACCTGATCTAGATCATCCCTGATAGATGTCTATCCAACCTGTTCTTAAATATCTCCAGCGATGGAGATTCCACAACCTCCCTAGATAATTTATTCCAGTGTTTAACCATCCTGACAGCTATGAAGTTTTCTCTAATGTCCAATCTAAACCTTCCTTTAAGTCCATTGCTTCTTGTCCTATCATCAGAGGCCAAGATTTTTCTCCCTCCTTCTTGTAACACCCTTTCAGATACCTGAAAACTGCTATCATGTCCCCTCTCAGTCTTCTCTTTTCTAAACTAATAAGCCCAGTTCTTTCAGTCTTCTCTCACAGGTCATGTTTTCTAGACCTTTAGTCATTTTTGTTGCTTTTCCCTGGATCTTCTCCAATTTCTCCACATCTTTCTTGAAATGTGGTGCCCAGAACTGGACACAATACTCAGCACAGAGTAGAGCAGAAGAATTAATTCTTGTATCTGGCAAGAAGTACACATAAAGGGAAAAGAGCATATGGTAGTGGATGCCTTCTCCAGGAAAAAAAAGACCTTGGTCCCACTGCTTCCATATTAGTCAGTGACTAATGCTCCTGCAGGAAACTAAGGTGGAGGCATGATACTCTGTACTCGAAACCATCAACCAGGAACCACAATATTTACCATGGTGATATGATTATGATACATTTTGTACAAAAAGTGTCTTTTAAGGTATCATTCTAAAAGTCTTGGTCTGCTGAACGACAGCATCTTGTTGGATTGTATGGTAAGTTTTGCTAAGTGTGTGTCACTGAAATATGTTGTGAATTAGGAAACACCCACCACCAGCCTTTTAGGTAGAACAATAGAGAAGCTGGATACAGATGATGGAATCCACATGACAGAGGATTACCCCACGAATAGCATACAATAGAAACCTCTCAGAGATCACATGTAGACTAAGGATTCTTGAAGTTCTTGGGGAATCTGCCCAGAGTACAAAAGCTGGCACACATCCACTTTCCTTTGCAGAAGTGGTGGATTGGCTAATAAACTGAGACTTGTCAGGTATCTTACCAAAACAATATGGCAGGGGCGGAA